TCATTAGTACACCAGGTTATATATGCTACCGTCAAGATAAACACCATAGTGGTCGAGGGCAAGGTGTAGCCATATTGGTCAACAATAGACTCGAGGCTCGGCAGGTTATTATTCCCAAAACCAAACATATTGAAGCAGTCGCTATTGGCTTGGTAATTGGAGGTAAGGACTACGTGTTTGTTTCGGCTTATCAATCTCCCAATTTAAGGCTTGAAGGTGGTGACTTGGACATTTTGTTTTCCCTGGGGCCCCATGTGGTTGTAATGGGTGACTTTAATGCCAACCATAAATACTGGAACAGTAGTTATACTAACACTCGAGGCAACACATTGTTCCATCATATGCTGAGCCATGACTACATTATACATTGTCCTGATACACCCACTCAAGTCAACTACCGAGCTGATCTTACTCCGACTAATCCTGACTTAGTTCTATCGTTGAATGTCAATAGTATGCATGATATTCAAGTTCTACCAGCCCTATCATCTAATCACTTTCCTGTACTGTTCACAATCAATGGTTTTTGTTCTCGCAAACCCATTCCTAAAGTCTACTCTTATGTTAACACTGATTGGAAAAAGTACCGTTCTTTTCTTGATCAGCATATATTTCTAAGCTCGAATGTGTTCAAGTCGGAGCCAGAAATTGACGAAGCCGTGGGCCACTTACATCAATGCCTCATTGAAGCCAGAGATAAATTTGTTACTGCTAAACAACCTATTAACACTAACAATGTCTTACCTAGCTACATTACAAAAATAATTAAATACAAAAACTTTTTAAGGCGTAAAGAACAAAAAGCACTAACTACAGACAAAAGACACTTAAGATCAGCTATCAATTATTTACAAAAACTTATCAAGTTACATATTATAAAATATCACGACACATTATGGAATACAAAACTTTCTAAAGTTGACAATCCTGGCAACGATTTATGGCGTCTGGTGAAAACTCTTAAGCCTAAATCTGACACAATACCTCCACTTGAAACTTCAGACGGCTTATTAACAGCGAACACGTCTGAGCAGTGTGAGGTCTTAGCAGATAATTTCGCGATGAACATGAACCTAACCCACGACTGGGTTAGCGATAGTGTTGAAACGGATGTTCAATCAGCTATAACCGTCTTAAATAATCATGTCATAGATAATTTTCATCAACTAGTCCGGCCTACTGAAGTCTGGAAAGTTGTACGTAAACTTAAGACTAGAAAGGCACCTGGTGATGATGGAATACAATATAATGCTTAAAAACTTGTCACAAAAGTCTATTGTGTATATTACCAAAATATTTAATGGTTGTTTAAAGTTGGGTTATTTTCCTCATATGTGGAAAACTGCAAAAGTTATTGCTCTGAAAAAACCAGGAAAGGACATTGCATCGCCGACCAGCTATAGGCCCATCAGTCTTCTACCTGTCCTAGGTAAACTTTTCGAGGTATTGATATATGATCGGTTGCGGCGATCCTCAGAACAGCTTATTCGGAACGAGCAATTTGGCTTTCGTTCATCTCACTCTACGGTGCAACAATTGGCCAGAGTTTCCGAACATATCTCTTATCATCTTAATCATAAACAGTCTACCGGCATGTTCCTTCTTGATATCGAAAAAGCTTTCGATACTGTCTGGCATGATGGCTTGTTATACAAGCTCATTTCTTTCGGAATTTCATTGAATTTAGTAAAACTGATTCAGTCCTACCTCAGTGATCGCAAGTTCGTGGTACATATTGGCTCTAATAGGTCATCACCCCGGGTGATGATGGCTGGGGTACCGCAGGGATCGGTGCTTGGTCCTTACCTCTTTGTCCTGTATGTTAATGACTTGCCTGTGCAAGTCCGTACCCACTTGGCCTGTTTTGCTGATGATACAGCGTCTTATACTTCAGATAGCGACGTTGACATTATCATTAGCCGACTTCAGATGTCTCTTGAATTACTCCAGTCTTACTTCAATAAATGGAAGCTCAAATTGAATGAATCTAAAACTGAAGCCATTCTTTTTACACGTCAACGTAACGTCCCTAAAAGAAATTTAAATATTTCTGGTCAGTCCATTCCTTGGAGTGCAGCAGTTCGCTACCTGGGTATCACGCTGGACAAAAGGTTAAACTGGACTAAACACATAGCAAAATTACGTGTCAAGGGAGCACAAGCACTAGGTTCCCTAAGCCCTATACTCAACCGTAAGAGCAGACTCAGCCCTAAGACAAAAATTAGACTATACACAACCTTAATTAGACCTTGCATCACCTATTCATGTCCAGTATGGAGCAATACTTGTGAATCAAATTATAAACATTTACAGATTCTACAAAATAAAGCTGTTAAAATCGCTTATAATACTCCATTTTTGACTAATCTCCAAATACTTCACTCAAAAATTAATTTACCAAACATCACACAATATATTTTAAAACTAACTCGCAAATTTTACAGTAAAAATAAATGTCATTATAATACTTTGATTGCCGACATAGGGCGAAAAGATTTGAATGATTTGCATGGTATCGATAGATATGGTACATACAAGCTCCCACATCACTACGTTTTGTTCGCACACAAAACTGATACCATCGTAGCATGAACCACGCACTGCGCCAGCGCTGCCCCGCTCTCGTCACTAAACCGTGAGGAGGCGCGGGGCGCGGGGGCTCAGTCGCTGTGGAAACTTGGTGCGGCTACCTGCGTTGCCACTGTTCGCAACATTTTATGTATGCGCGTAATTAATGTATTTTTACCCTCGAACTATAATAATGGAATCATTACAATGATTTCATATGCATAACATTATTAAGTTATCATAATATCAAGCATACATTACCTATTATTGTTTTAAAATACTTAAAAAGGCTTACACAGCCTGTAAAAGTGTTGTTATTTGAAGACGGAATTGTGACTTAGTATAGTAAGTTTTTCAATTTGTGTACACCTACTTATTTTAATAAAGAATTTTATAAAACAAACAACAAACCCCCAAGGGAGTAAAATAGGGGATGAAAGTGAAAGTAAGTAGGGTAAGAAATTCGGCGTGCAGATGGATATTATGACGTAAACGTCCCTTTAGAAAGGTTTTTGAACATTCTCACCCCAAGGTGGGTAAAATAGGGGGTGAAAGTTTGTATGATACTTTGGCAGTTTTAAATTGATCGGGCTGAGACTTTGCATGCATAAAGTTACTATGACATAGGTATCTCTTTAGAAAGGATTTTGATAAATTCCACCCCTAAGGGGATAAAATAGGGAATGAGAGTTTGTATAAATTTTCTTAGCCGTTGAATTTAGAATCATTGAATCTTTTTGAATTACATTCGGTAAAACGATGATTTAGGACCTGGGTAACGTATGATAGTTTTTTCACAGATGTCTCACGAGAACGGGAACTATGCGTCAATGCCCCAGGACTCTCTAACTCTTAACCACTGAACTTATTCTAGAGAGATTCGGTACAACAATAGTCGATAGAATAGTTTTTATTACTCAAACCTTACGTGATCGGGCACTGTACTGGTAAGATGCCTGCGGGATTATTTATTTATTGAAACTACGATAAATCATTTCAAAATAGGTAAATCTCACTTGGGCACTGAATTGATTCTGGTTAATTCTGTCAGAAGTCATTAATCTACGCGGACGAAGTCGCGGGCAACAGCTAGTACTTAGATAAAATGGCGATAAGTTCAGGAGTGGGGTCGTTACGTCATAACGTGCTACAAAACGTGACACGCTGTGACGTCACACGATATTTCAAATTAATATATTGCCAAAAGTATTTAATTTTGAGAGAAAAGAAAATATACGTGTCTAAAGTATTAAATTAATATACCAGACGGGGCAGACGGACATTAAAATAAAATTTAGGAAACAACCCTATTGTCATCATCTCGGTATCACTGTGCAGCGTGTGTCGACCTCACTTTTCTAAGCTAGTATTCTTTCATGAAACTGCATAAGGCTACGCATTGATAGTGCATAGTGTGATGTGTATTCCCAACTCATGTAACTACATTAATAAGCTGTTGAGTTTCCAATTAAACAAAATATTATAAAACACACCTCGCAATCACCTGCAAACATGCTTCGACACGAATGGGCCGGCTTGACCGGAGTGATACCACGGCCTCACATTTAACAGACGTGAAACAACGCTTGCGTCGTGTTTCGTTATGTGAGGTTACCGGAGCCCCAATTACGCCCCTCCCTAGTCTCCCGAATCCCCGTATCCTCCACAATCTTCAAATTCCCAATTTCCAAAAGGCCGGTAACGCTCATGTAACGCCTTTGTGTTTCGGGTGTCCATGGGCGGCGCTGATTGCTTACCATCAGGTGATTCGACTGCTCGTTTACCGACTTATGATATAAAAAAAAATAAACAAAGGACCAAATGTTACCTTGGTAAAAAACTAGAATACACGTAAAATAAAATGCCATTTGGTTGACCGTGAATAATGGACACATTCTGATTTCCTTTCCGTAATTATTGAAAAGCATTGGTAATTGAATTTTCACACCATGTGACCTGTTTTACACCGTAACTCGTGATTCATTCTCACATGTCCGATCGAACGACCCAATTGTTGTTTAAAAACATAAGTGTTGTATTCAACATAAACTTGAGTTGGTGTTGTCGATTTATTTTTTATAACATCCTTTTTGTGGACAGTTATTCATTTTTTGGTACATTATGAATTTTCAAGTTTCGAATGTCTCCATTATGTTTGTCCTCGATTTTAATATTGTTATTTTTGCCTTCCCGCTCTCTTCTCTTAGACTCTTATTACATGATTAGGACAATATAAAAATTATGTGGTAATCGGTCTTTATTCCGTTTTAGTGAGCATTTTCAAGTACCTGCAATTTTTGCGTATTAAGATAATCCTTGGTGGTGCTAGAAGTTTCTCTCGGAACTATTTAAATAGAAACCTCCCTCAAAGAAATTATTCCCCTACTTTTCTATCAAAATTAATTCTTATAATTTTCTTTCCTCTTTTTCAGTTCGACCTCGCCTGTCAAGACTGGAAACGGTCCTTAGTGGGCACAGTTCACAATGCGGGATTTTTCATCGCGATCCCGCTGACAGGACTCATATCTGACAGATATGGCCGCCGTCCTGCACTCATTTTCGCTTCGGTGGCCAATGGCGTGTTCGGAGTCATTCGGGCATTGTCGGTTAATTACAACATGTTCGTTGTGTTTGAATTTTTGGAACCTGCTTTTGGTGCTGGAGTTTATACAGCGTGTTTTGTTCTGGGTAAGTGAATTTGTTTATCGCTGTAATTTCTTTTCGCATTTTAAGTCATTTAACATTGAATTTACTAGGGCATGAGCAAGTGAACATTTACCAGGCATGATTCTATACTCGGAAGCCTTTGCCCTACAGTGAGACGACCACAGCTAATAAAAGAAAATCTACACCATCTTAAACGTTTTTAGGATGGTGTAGAATTTTTCTTTTTTTATTTACCTACTAAGAATTTTCCTGAATCATTTTCGATTGAACTTGAAACCCCTGAATTAACCTTCCCAAGCATAACCAAATTAACATGTTCTTTGCATGAGCTCAGAGTTCGGTAAAATCTGGGCATTATTTATGTTCAGTTCTCATATCAGAAAAATGATATCAAAATGCCTATTTTCAAAGGAAACTTGAGCCAATATCTCATAAAATTTAATCAGCTACATTACACAGAGTAAACTACATCAATATACACTATACGTAATATATTATCACGGCTCAATTACTAAGGTCGTTGTACGCGGAACACTGAATGCAGAAGTACCACAATTTTCCTTGAGATTGGAGCGGCGAAGGCGAAGTGATAGTTCTAACGGAAACTAGTGGTCTAGGTACTCATTATTTGCAATATACAATGTGACATATTAATTGTTGTTATTTGGTTATGAAATAGAGGAGGTTTAGAGGAAAAGGAACTTTAGTTTAGGTAAATTGAGTTCGAAATGTCATGTTTAGAATTTGTGGGCAGTGAGTGAGTGGTATACGAATTTTCTTTAATTGAAGACAGCTCGACTAACTATTCTAAACTATTGAGTTTCTTCAATCTATTTAATTGTGGGAATGCTTCGGCACGAATGGGCCAGGTCGACCGGAGTAATACCAAGCCCTCACAGAAGACCAACGTGAAACAACGCTTGCGTTGTGTTTCGTCGTGTGAGTGAGGTTTCGTGCGACAAGGCGTCTCCCGGGGTGGTCTGCGACACCATACTAAACGTATTTTATTTTAATTAAAAACTAGGTCGTGACATGGATCGTAAAAAGAAGTGTGTACTTCTGTTATTGCTTAGGAGGTACAGGAAAAAGAAACAAAGAAGATTTTGGGAAGATAAGATTTTGATGCGCGATGCGAATCAATTCGCAAGTTCTTGCGATGCGTAGAGGGACGTTGCATCTCAGTTTTGTGTACAAACCCTAAGGCCCAAACCAAGTCAGTACCTACGGATATTCATATAACATATAAAAGTTAAATATAACATCAATTTTTCTTATCAACAAATCAAACAAATCACGTTATAAATAAATGCACTTTCGATACATATACCTAAAGGGTCACGTGTGACCAACGTTGGTAATGTAAGCATGACCAACATTAGCTACACATTAAGCCGTTCAATAATAATTTAGTTCATTTTAATTTAGTCACCAAATCGATTATCAACTCCTATAATTACACTTTTACTTGGATTTAAATCACACTGGGATACGGATTACCATTATTATTATTATATTTGACCATTAATAAGTCTGGATTTATTTATCTATATCAGATTTTTTGAAATTAGCCTATTATAATGGAGCTGCAAACACATTGAATAATAGGCATAATGTTTTAAGTAAATCCATACGGTCGGCGTCGTCGTGGTCACCTGGAGGTTTAAGACACCCGCTTCTCATACATGAAAATGCGGATTCGAAACCTACGAATGGCAAGTACCAATGTGACTATTTCCGAGTTATATGTACTTTCTAAGATTATTTAGACACCACTGACAAACAGTGAAGGAAAACATCGGGAGAAAACCTGGGCTTATAACTTTTAATTATAAGTTTGAAATCGCCAACCCCCAATATTATAGGTTTTTTTTATGGCATAAGCCGGTAACTTCACTTACACGATGAAACCCAACGCAACCGTTGCTTCACGTCGGTTTTCTGTGAGGCCGTGGTATCACTCCGGTCGAGCCGGCCCATTCGTGCCGAAGCATGGCTTTCCCACACTTAGAAGTAAGTTAAACAATACCAAAGCATTCATAATTGCCATCCATTTCACTAGCAAACAGTCGTCTTTTTTTTTTTTTTTTTGAGGGGGGAAAATCATCCAATGACTTCTCCCGCCTGGGTGAGGCGGGAGGGAGTGTCAGACTCTTACTGACTAAAAACCACCCCGTTCCTACTCCTGCACTTCGAGCCGGAGCCCCGGCAACCCGTTAAGTCTTCCGCGGCTCCGTATCGGCATCAGCCTTGTTAGGCCCCATCTGTGGTGGTCTGATGGCTCCTTGAGGCGCGCGCGGAACGCGACGCGCCGTACGCTCGGGCCTGGTTCTGGTCGGGCGGCGAGTCACCCATGCTCGCCGTCCGCAGGCCCGTGCTTACGGTGGCCGGAGATCGTCTCGCGATCCCCGACGCCCGGAGTGTCTCTCGCGACGGCCGGGTCGTGAGGAGGTTCGTTCCCTCACGCGCTCCGCCTCCTCCTTAGCTAGCATGACTGCTTCGCAGAAGGAGGAGACGGCATCCCAGTCCCCCTCGCTCCGTACCATGGTCTGAACCAGAGCCGGACGCGAGAGGTCGCCGTCGCCGATCACATTCTGAGGACACGGCGGTGCTCAGTCCACGCAGGACACACCGCCACCGTATGCTCCACCGTGTCCTCCGGGCGATCCTCGCAGTGATGACACCCGGGCGTTTCCTCCCGCCCAATCCGAAACAGGAACCTACCGAAACTTCCGTGTCCGGTAAGACCTGCGTCAGGCGGTAGGTGAGGACGCCGTAGCGTCTCTCAAGCCACTCCTCAAAGAGGGGACTTACCGCTGCAATGACAGCGAGCCCAGCCTTCGGTTGCGACAGTCGTTGCTGCCATTCCGCCATGAGATCACGCCGGAGCTCATCCCGCCACGCATTAATCTGGCGCGGCAGCGGAGTTTCGCCCCGGCGACGTGCCTCCGCGCGCAAACAAAACACGCGCGCGAGCACCTTCGCCTCCAGATCCCACGGCGGTAATCCGGCAAGGAGGTTCGCCGCCTCCCCGGAGATCGTGCGATATCCGCGTATCAATCGGATCGCCATGACCCTCTGTGATGTAGCAGCGCCCGAGCGGCCGCCGCATCAGGTTCGGCGCCCACACAGGGGCGCCGTAGAGGGCCATGGACCGCACGACCCGGCGCGTATAACCTCCGGCAGGAGGCATTTGGCCCCCCGAGGTTGGGTAGGAGGCGCTTAAGCGCCGCCCCCGTCCTTTCCAACTTAGGAGCCAAACGTCGGAAATGCTCCACGAAGTTCCACCGACTGTCGAGGACGAGTCCTAGTACTTCATGTCGTCTCGACGCCGATGGTAACTCCTCCCGCCGTTAATTGGGACTCACCCGGAGGTGGCGCGTTCCCGCGGCCATGAAAACACATGGCTCGGATTTGTGGAGCGCCACCTCGAGTCCCAGTTGCCGGATTCTTTCAACGACTGTCGTAACCGCTCTCGCCGTTAAATTAGCCGCCGCCTGATGCGACCTCCCGTGTGCTAACACAGTGTGTCGTCAGCGTAACAGACCACGCTGACGTTGTTCGGGAGTCGGTGCGCAGCACCCAGTCATAGCCGATGTTCCACAGGAGCGGCCCCAACCGAACCCTGTGGAACACCGCGCGACGTCTCTCGCCGGTTCCACTCACCTCGGTGACCGGGGTAAATGACGGACCGTTCCGTCAGGTATGCCTCGATTACACGACGGAGATAGGTGGGCACCCGATGATATCGAAGTGCCTCCAAAATGCAGCTCCAGGGCAGGGAGTTGAAGGCATTGGCGATGTCCAAGGACACCGCCACTACGACCTTACCCTGGACACTGCAGTCCCCGTCGTGAGGTCTCTTACACGCATGATGGCGTCCACCGTGGAACGCCTCTGCGGAAGCCGAACTGGCCGTCCGACAGGTCCGGCCCAACATCCGACAGGTGCGCGACGAGGCGGTTCGAAATGATCCTTTCGAAAACTTTTCCCACCTCGTCGAGCAACACGATGGGCCGGTACGCGGACGGAGAGTCCGCAGGGCGCCCCGGCTTCTTCACTAGGACCAATTTACCCACCTTCCACAATAGCGGGAACTGGCCCCTCTCCAAGCATGCGCTGTAGAGACCAATTAATCGAGGCTCGAGAGCCTCCGAGGCCAGGACCCACGCCTTGCCGTGCAGTCCGTCGGGTCCCGGGGCGGTGTTTTTGGCGCCCATCCGGCGTACCGCCGCTCTCAACTCGGCCTCGGTCACCTCCGAAACTGTGTCGCCGTCGTCTTCGCTGTGGCCCACATAGGGCACCGCAGGGGGCGGAGTCATGGACGGAGGGGTGTAACCCCTCTGTAGTCGGGGGAACAAGGCGCCGACCACCTCCTCCACTACCTCTGGCCGGAGACTCTGAGTCAGCGGGGGAGCCCATGTGCGGAGCTTATCCCGCACCATCCGATAGGGGCGTCCCCACGGGTCTCTGTTCAGAGTTCCAAGAACTCCTGGAGGGCATTCTCTTTGGCCCGCCGTATCTCCGCTTTGAGGGCGGCCTTCGCCGCCTTGTACCCCTCGTACAACTCCGCCTCTCTGACCTCTGCGTCCTGAGGACGGATACGAAGCCTGCGGTGCCTGGTGTACCGGCGTCGCGCAGCAGTGCATGCACTGCGTAGAGCAGCCAGCTCTTGCGACCACCAGTACGTCTGGCGCTTGCGCTGACCTGGCCGGACCCGGGGCATCGCCACGTCACAGATTCTGGACATGGCGTCCTGGAGCCACCTTGCCTCCTCATCATGTCGGCAGGCCTGTCCGGTGGTATCACCCAGGCCTGCACGATTGCGGCTTCCAGGAATAGCTCCCGGTCCAGCTGTCTCAGCGCCCAACGCGGGCCACATGGGGCCTGTCTGACCAGCGGGTCCGCGGACTCGGTGGAGACGTTAAACCGGATATACCGGTGGTCGGAGTACGTTTCCACCTCCTCCATGACGAGCCAGTCAACAACACGCGGCGACAGAGCAGGGCTAGCGAACGAAATGT